CTCCTCCTCCTTCCCCTCCCCCTCCCCCTCTCCCTCCTCCATCCCTTATCCGTATAACTGATTCCTCCCTGTCGCTCCCCCGCACGCGTCGGTAGGGCGGGCCAGGCGTTTCGTTGGAGATTCTCCGACCATGCATTCCCAAATTTGGCTTGCATACGGGGTTCTTACGTGGTTAAAGGTTGGTGCCTCGGGTGGCTACTTTACCCGTTCCTCTGAGGTTCCTCGGGTTTCTCTTTTCTGCGCGAAGCAATTCCAAGCAATACGACGCCAAGCAATGCCAAGCAATGCAAGGCAATGCCAAGCAATGCCAAGCAATTCCAAACATTGCCAAGCAATGCCAAGCAATGCCGAGCAAAGCCAAGCAATGCCAATCAATGCCAAGCGATGCGCCCTGCGATGCGCCCATGCAATATGCTTCCCCCAAATTGGGGTCGCGCCGGGTTCATGATTCTGAATATTGGAAGTTGCAACGGTTTCATGGATGAAGGGCGGTCCCTTATCAACATGCTGCTCTCGCCTCAGCGCGGCGCACATTGATTTTAAACGGTTGCAGCGGCTTCCAGGATGGAGGGCGGTTCCTTTTTAGAATGTGGCTCTCGCTTCAGCGCCGCTCGCATTCTTTTTAAACGTGCCCAGCAGTTTCAAAGACTCGCAGGGTTGAAGTCCCAAGAGTTGTGTCTCGCAGCGCTTTGGGACTGTCAGAACGCAACGGCCATGTTGATTCGCGGCGTTCTGGCGCGATTTAGGATTGCCGGGGCGCAACAGTCACGCTGATTCGCGGCTTTGAAGTCCCAGGATTAGTTTTTCTGACACGGTCGAGGACTCTCAGACGGCTGGCTGTCTTTCAATGGAGCACTTCCCACCATGAAAATACATTTCTGCAGGGACCCATGAAGACGGAGCCTGGAAGCATGGTCTCTTGCAGCATCGTGGGCGCGTCTTGGGTTTACACTGGTCCTCCTCCTCCTCCACCTCCTCCTCCTCCTCCTCCTCCTCCTCTTTTGAAGTTCCAACCTACTTTAGCCTTGATCGCCAGATATAATTTCGAGCACCACGCAAATACCGACGCTGGAAGGCTTTCACGTGTCGGGCCTTGGGAGGCGATACTCGCTTGACACTTCGCTACAGTGTCGGGCAGGCACAGCTTCGATACCTTTTTTTCCTGGGAGCTCGAGATTATTTCTGGGATGTGGCCCTTAAGTACGATGGGAGCAACGCAGTCCTCCTCCTGAGGCCTGAGCCCTGGCGGCATCCGAGTCGAAACTTCTGCTGCCATCGCCCCCGCCCCGCGACGCCGTGTGGCGCGCCGCGCGGGGCAATGCCGAAGATGGTCCCGTGGCGCCCGGCGACGGGCCGATGGCCCCCTCCTCCGCCTCCTCCACCTCCTCCTCCTTGGCGTTCTTCTCCTCCTCCTCCTCCTCCTCCTTCTCCTCCTCCTTCCTCCTTCCTCCTTTTCCTCCTCCTCCTCCTCCTCCTCCTCCTCCTCTCTCCTCTCTCCTCTCTCCACCTCCTCCTCCTCCTCTCTCCTCCTCCTCCTCCTCCTCCGCCTCCTCCTCCTTCTCCTAACCTCCTCCTCCTCCTCCTCCTCCTCCTCCTCCTCCTCCTCCTCCCTCCTCCCCTCCTCCTCCCTCTTCCTCCTCCTCCCCTCCTCCTCCTCCTCCGTCCTCCTCCATCTCCTCTCCTCCTCTCCTCCTCCTCCCTCCTCCACTCCTCCTCCTCCTCCTCCTCCTCCTCCTCCTCCTCCTCCTCCTCTCTCCTCTCTCCTCTCTCCTCTCTCCCCCCCCCTCTAGCCGATGCCCTCGGTGCCTCTCTGGGCCCTCTCGGGCCCTTTCGGGGCTCTGCGTGGCCGTCCCGGGGGCCTCGTTGTTGGGCCGCCTTGGAGCCTTCTTGGGAGCCTCTGCGGCCGTCTCGCGGCAGTCGCGGGGGCCCTCGGAGCCGTCGTCGGCCGATCTCTGGGCCCGAAGCGGCGAGCACCCAGAGGCCAAGAGGAGAGGAGCGCGACGAGAAGAAGGGTTCTCGCTGGAACGCGCAGCCCCCGCGTGCCACCCTCCCCCCCCCAGGCGCGCGCGCACGCGCAGGAGCGAGCGCAAACGCGCAGGATCGAGGGGCTCGGGCCCTCCGCGCTCGCGCTGGGGCTCGGGCCCGGGCTCCGCGCTCCGCGCTCGCGCCCCAGCCAGGCGCGCGCACGCGCGCACAGCCCCCCACGCGGCGCCCGAGGACTCGCTGGCCTCCTGCCGCGAGGACCAGAAGGCGCAGACGGAGGCGCGCACGAAGGCGCCGTGCGGCGGGGGCACCTCCTCCTCCTCCTCCCTCCTCCTCCTCCTCCTCCTCCTCCTCCTCCTCCTCCTCCTGCTCCTGCTCCTGCTCCTCTTCCTCCTGCCAGGGCCTCGGGCGGTGTGCGTGGACGCTTTTTCGGGGGAGCCTTCGGGGGAGTCCTCGCCTCGCTGCCTCTCCCCGAGGTGTTCTCGCCTCGGGGTGCCTCGCGGCCGCCGCGCCTCGGCGAGGGCGTTTCTCCGCGGGTGCCCGAGGCGTCCCCGGTCGGCGGAGTCGTGGCCCGGGGGGCCCGGATCTCCGAGGACCTGTCTTTTTGCAAACCCCAGCCTCCTTTCTCGAGGGCGCCCTCGAGGGCGCGTAGTTATTCGCGCTTCGCGGTTCGCGGTTCGGCTCCGATTCCTCATCCTCCTCTTCTCCCCTGGGAGGCGGCGCGAGAGCGCGAAGTTATTCGCACTTCGCGCTTCGCGCAGCGCGAAGCGCGAAGGTGGGAGCCCTCCTTTCTTGACCTCGGCCTCCAGGGGTCCGTCGTCGGGCCCGTGGGCGGGGCACAGATCTCCGACGATACAGTGGGGGCCCATGCCAAGAAACGCCCTGCTTGCCTCCAGGGTGCCGCGGGTTTCTCGGGTTTCGGTGGTTCTGCGATGGGAGGCGTGGCGTTCCCACCCCGAGAAAATCAATGGACGTTCTGGGATCTCAGGGCTGGGTTGTCTTGTGGCTGGCTCCTTGTGGCCTGGCCTCCGCTGTGTGATTTCCCGGGATCCCAGAGGTTCTCCTCTCGGTCTCGGCCTGCGGGGGCCCCAGGGCCGTCGACGGGCGGACCACTGGATTGCCAGGGGCGTGGGTTCGTCCCCCCTGGGGAGAGAACAGGGTACGGGTCCCCCGACGGGGGGGCAGCCCCCGTACCTGGCGCCGATGTCGGGGTGGTGTCGTGCGGCGGCGGCCTCCCCTTGCGGTGGGGCTGCACCGGAGGCGCCTGGCGGTGGGACCGCACCGGAGGCGCCTGGCGGTGGGACCGCACCGGGGGCGGCGGCGGCGGCTGGGGCGCGTAGGTGGTACGGACACGCGGTCCGCTGGAGGAGGAGGAGGAGGAGGGGGAGGAGGAGGAGAAGGAGGAGGAGGAGGAGGAGGGGGATGAGGGGGAGGAGGGGGAGGGGAGGGGGGAGGAGGCAGGAGGAGGAGGAGGAGGCGAGGAGGGAGGAGGAGAGGTGGGTCCCGATTCAACCTGCCTCCCCGGGAGGGGATCGGGACCTCACTCGGGGCCGCACGCTGAGCACAAATCTCATCGTCGAATTGGTTTTGGGGGGAGTGGCAGGTCGAGGAGGAGGAGGAGGAGGAGGAGGAGGAGGAGGAGGAGCAGGAGCAGGAGCAGGAGGAGGACTACCACGCTGAGAAGGATTCTACAACAATAAATGTAGAGGAGGAAGAGCAGGAGGAGGAGGATGAGGAGGAGGTAGGAGGTAGGAGGTAGGAGGTCGGTAGGAGGTAGGAGGAGGAGGAGGAGGAGGAGGAGGAGGAGGAGGAGGAGGAAGAGGAGGAGGAGGAGGAGGAGGAGGAGGAGGAGGAGGAGAAGACGAAAACAAATAATGCGAATACGCATGCGAGACATACTACGAATACGAATGCGGAGACGGATGGTAATAGTAATCATGTAACGCGTACTATTAGCACTACGAGTAACAATCATACCACTTATCGTAGTAATGAGGCGAATACTAAAACGAACGCACTTTGACGATTATTCGGTCAAAGACAAAGCATACTTAGACGCAGACACATAAGCATAAGCTACTCATAACCATACGCATAAGCATACGCAGAAGCATAAGCAGAAACAGGCGCAGACGCAGAAGCAGACGCATACGATTATTAATAATAATACGAATGATAAGATGAAAACGAATACGACGAAGAAGAAACAGAAGAAGAAGAAGAGGAGGAGGAGGAGGAGGCGGATGGAGGAGGGGGAGGGGGGGGAGGATGAGCCAGCCTCACGACTATGACCCTGGCCGGTGAAGAAAAGGAGGAGGGGGAGGAGGGGGAGGAGGAGGAATGGAAGTCTGCGCTGGCGTGAACCCGCAGTTCTCTGCGAGTGGCACTTGTCTCTGGGCTTCACCTCGAGGCGGCGGTGCCTGCGTTCCGGCTCCACGTCCCCGCCCCGCCAGGAGAACTTCGTGTACCAGGCGAACATCCAGACGCTGGTGGAGGCTGGGCGGGGCTTTGCCCCTGGCCGTGGGCGGAGTCGTGGGGGGTGGGCGTGGCAGGGCGGGAGGGAGGAGGGAGGGCTGCTGAATAGACACAGCGCCAAGAAGAAGGATGATGATCGGGGTGGTGATGGGGATGACGATGACCATGATGATGATGATGATGCTGAGGATGATGATGACGATGATGGTGACGACGATGATGATGGTGATGATGATGATGATGACGATGATGATGATGACGATGATGATGATGGGGATGATGCTGCTGATGATGGTGATGACGATGACGATGACGATGCTGATGATGCTGCTGATGATGATGATGGTGATAACGGTGATGATGATGGTGATGATGATGATGATACTGATGATGATGATGATGATGATGATGATGATGATGATGATGATGATGTTGGTGATGATGATGATGATGATGTTGATGATGATGATGGTGACGGTTATGGTGATGGTGATGCTGCTGATGATGTTGCTGCTGATGATGATGATGATGATGAGGAGGAGGAGGAGGAGGAGGAGGAGGAGGAGGACGACGATTAAGAGGAGGAGGAGGAGGAAGCGTAGGAGGAGGAGGAGGG